TTTTTTTCTTTTAATTTTTTAGCCATTTTTAAACATTTTTAGCCTTGTAAAACATTTTCACATCGCATCAATCGAATTTTGTGGATACAATTGATCTGTTATCAAAGTTTGATACTTTAGAGAATTTACAGAATAAGACTCTTAAGAGCAATAAACCCGCAGTTGCTTTTTGTTCTGTCATTTCAAACTGGGTGTGAATTTGGCGGAAAACAGTGTTTATAAGAATCTAATGCGAAATCATTTCTGTAAAAGGTGATCCTCAATTGATGCGCTCATCTATTTGTCTGTGTAACATGTTCAGTTAAGGCGGCTACCGAAAATGCTCTCTTAAGTATATGGAAAACTGAAAAATTACCCTGGTTCCTTGCGTCCAAGAAAATTTACCTTCGTTCCAAAATGCAGTTTTTACAAACAGAAACTGTGCGGGCATGATTTTGCGTGTCTAATGCAAACCATCCATTGACAGTAAAGGAAAGAAAAAGTTTGCACTTTTCCACTCAGTCTGATCAAAGTTGGGCGCGAACAATTCAAAATTATTGCTTTAATCGGAATATAAAGTTAAAGGGTTACTGAGAAAACATTCCAGCTAATGGCAGGGTCTAACAGAGTTAGAGTGTTGCACCCAAAGAACTTTTAAACTGCTTCTTTGGGAACAGGGACGTTGCAGTGGTGATAGCGCTCGCCTCCCACCAATGTGGCTCGGGTTCGATTCCGGCCCGGTGCCATATGTTAGTTTGTTGTTGGTCCTCCTCCGGTTTTCCTCCCTCTACAAAAACCAGCATCTCCTAATTCCAATTCGGCCACGATAGAAGACCGCCATGAAAACCAGTTAAAGCTGATGTGGCTTCTTCTCTAAATATTGTACAATTTATTTAAAAAGAATATTGAATATAGTCCTTGAAACATTTGAAACAGAAACTGATGCCGGCCCGGAATATCACACCACAAATAGGAACGAGAGAGCCACTCCCCTATCATATATTTCCGATATATCGTATATCAACTGCGTAAAAAAAAAAGCAACTTAGAGTCTCCAATACCCCAGCATACGATGAGTAACGGAGTGTTCTCAAAATTTATACCAAACTCTTTGTGAAAAATGTAAGCCGAGCTTCAAGTTGTTTCGCTCGATCATTGACAACAACATCAGCGTCCCCTCGTGATGCAACTGCAGCAGCTGCCTTCACCTCTCGAACAAGGATTGTCTTGAGAAAATAATACACAACAAAGAAAAAGCGGTAGCGGGGAGAAGAGTCGACAGAAATATTTCCTACATACCCGACGAAGGAGGAAGGAGGCGGGTAATTAAATGGAAGCTTTTTTAATTTCAAAAACTGACCGCGAAGCTTTGTGCATTAATCATTGGCCTCTATCAAGTGTTAATCAATTGTTTTAGACACAAAAATAGCTGCTTTAAACAGATACAAATACGAAGCAAAACTATTCAACTGCCGCGAGTGTGTGCGACCAAGTTGCTTGTCACAAATTTTGAAAGATTGATACTGAAAGATAGATTTTAACTCAAAGTTGTCTAAAGACGAAACTAGAGAATCAGTATCGCGTCGTCAGCAATTTCAGTTGTCGCACACTCGCGCGCTGAGGAGGATGGGTGAATATTTGGAGCCCAGATCTCCCATGGCCAAGCGCCGAACAGAGTGGGATCTGGGTATGAGATAAGTTGAGTGACCCCTGTCATCCAATCGCCTTCGGAGGAAAATAACAGAAATGGAAACACACGCGTGTCAAGTTTTGTTTAATGCTCATTGTGACTTACTTGGTATGAAGATGCTGTTTTATTTACCAACTGTCTGTTAAAAGAGCTACATCACGGCTTGCACCGTCTTAAAAAGTTTAGCCGAATTTTTTAAAGTTCGTCATTTGTAATCCGTGTTAATCTTCTCCATCCTTAACCATCCTTTTTCCTTTATGGGTTATTATTATCTCTTTTGGAGTTTTTCTATCTTAGTAAACTAATAATTTCAGGTTTCCTAATATTTTCAGGTAATTTTTACACGGCCAAAATAATTCAAAATACTGAGACTGGGCTCTTTTAACTTGCCGGCTTGGTATGGCATGCTTTATTTTGGTTTCGCTTTACAAACGTTCTTACACCAGTGGTGTTTCACAACAAAATCACATATTCTATTTTGTCATACTTCTTTGCACCAACTAAACATTTTTTACTTCTTAAACCAAAACAACTTCACACGGTTTAAACGATGTTAATTAACGCACACTGTGATTTGCTAAATATATTTTGAAAATACTTCCCAATTCGTTCTATTGATTGACCAAGATAGCGACATAAAAGAGCTGCTATCTAGTCAAATAAGCTACCCCTTTCTACTAAGGTCCGTGACAGTTTCTGTCTCAGTAACTCTAAGCCAGCCACACTTTATGATACATTCAAATTACGAGCAGGCATAAACACGCTTCACACTTAGCATACGAACATAGATAATACATTCTGCTTAAGATAACTACTTTTCTTGAACACTCTCGCTTTTTTAACGTCTCAAAGACTATCAAACGTATGGGTAGCAAAAAAAGGCTTATGACTGAGTGTGGTCCAAACGCGGTTTTATCTAAATCCTCACGCACTCAGCTCTGCACGCGTTCAGGACGCGTCTGAAATCGACGCTAAAAATAGCATACTGATGACGTAACTCAACAGAGATTTGTGTTGTGTCGCTCAGTTTTACTCGCCCGCGAGTAACAACCAATAGGAGACAACATACAGATCCGGGAATTGCTACAACTTCAGTATGGAAGTTTTAAGATCGAAACTCAGATGTCTTTGCAGTGTTGAAAAACTGAGCCCGCGAACACTCGGGTATTTTTAACCCGGGACTTCATGTACAGCTAACTAGGAATAGCTAACTCCAAGCAGAAACAAAGGCAACGCCAATACTTGAAAACACGGTACCGGATACAAATTTAAGACCGTCTTTTAATTAAAACGAGAAGTAATATATCAAACACGAAAGACCGTGTTTGACCACATTTCCAAACACCGAGGAGAGAGTTGAAAATACGACGCGCAGCGGTGTATTTTTGACGAACCTCAAGATGTTTGGAAATGTGATGAAGCACTGTCTTGAGTGTTTGATATATCTTCTCAATCGCAACTAAACTATAGCGAAAACGGAGAGATAAAATCGGAAAAAATCTATACTTATTAAGATCAGATATCCAAACATCGTCACGGTCATGGTTTACTTTGTTTAACGCGATGAATTATTAATGAGTTTGAGAACATTCTCTCCAAGTTGTTCAGTTGGTGCCGAGATACCTACCGTCCATGTTAGCGAGGTGAACGCTTTAAAAAGTGAATAAGAAAATTCCTGAATTACTGCAAGGAACTGCCTCCTGACTGGAGAGAATACAGTGTCGATATGTCTGGGATTCCATGTCTTTTAAGCGCTAATACATATTTTATTTTCGATATAAACTGTCCGTTCGATGACGCCATAGAAGTCACTGTACATCTCAAGGTTAAACGCCTGCAATCTGTACCAAATATGGTGATTCGCGCTGCAGGGTACACGTGACATTCACGTGGTATTATACAACCAATGGCAGAATAGCAGGACCACGATGTATCACACCTTCTTCAATTGCAAAAATAAACTAATATTCAAAGACTTGCGTGTGGTTTTTCCACTTTGTGTGGGTCTTGATCGACTGTCACGCCACTGAAGAAACCCGACGAGTAGCGTAAGCTCTTCTTCCTTTGTGCGATCGCTTCCCGGTCGCATTTTCCGAACTCTTCTTCGAGTCTTCGGCGTGAACGACGCGACTTGCGTTGCGAGGAGTTTAGAGATGTGTCCATGGACCTGTTGATGGAGTGGTCTTCTTCGAATGGTGATTTGCTCTACAGCAGATAAGAAAAAAGAGATTGAAGAAAAGTGAACGAACGGTGGCCGCGGGCATAAATGGCATATTTTGTCAGTTCATGAAATAAAACTCAATGAGCTTTATAATCATAATGAGCGATTAGAGAGGACTTTTTCGCTGGAAAATCCGTCAGATTAAAATGGGACAAAGACGGCGCAGAGTTTCTACTGCTGAAATCTGAGAGATACTTCCTGAAGGGAAAATCTAGAATCTCACTTTTAGTCCCCACTTCCACGAGAAAATTTACAAACGAAAAATAAGAATAATTAGCATCGGCGTTTGGTACTGAAGTACGCCTAGTCCTCGCATCTTAAATATCTGAGAACTTAAATTCGTAAAAGAAAAACGCAGGAATTGAATTTTCTGAAAGACTTTAATAATTGATATTGATTTTTTCCTCTGCGCAAAAAGACCTAACCGCTGAGATAACGAGTCTAAGGGTGTTATCTATTAACGGAAGTTCGACTGTGAAACAATTCATGTTTCAGTAAATAACTAACCTTGAACTCATAAGGCCGGGAGCGTTCTTTTGCATTGCTATATGGCGGAGGCGAATCCGCTGGTCGATGGTACCCAGAATTCATCAGTGGCTCTCTCTCAGGAATCTGTTGTAACTTGGAGTGACTCGACAGCAACGTGTCCGCACTCTTGCGCACGCTCGACTTAGAAAATCTTCTTTCTCCGATGGCCAAGTCGGGCTCTTCGGCTCCGTCCGGACGCCTGTCGCTGGCAGACTCGGAAGGAATCGACGAGTAATAAGACGAGCTTCCTTTCCGATTAGGGAACGTTTGCAAGTGGATGACCTCACCCATGGGCGTTTCTGGAATCGGCTCTCCTTCGATGTTCCTGCGATCGAAAGAAAATTTGTTCACTTTTGGACATCAACAAGCACTAAATATACAGCGAGTGACTGTTGATGAAGATCACCAAGGTCAACTGACCGCGAATGTCCTTCGACATCCGAGAAAGATTTCCTTGTTAACTAATAATTTTCTGATAACAGGCACACTATATCGTGTGGTTTTTCAGTGCAGAACAACAACCTGTTTGCATGTTATGTGTGTATATTTATATGTCGTTAATAAAACTGACTAGCAATAAACAAACAAATAGGTGGATTTAAGGCAGGAAATTTACTTATATGAGGTGGTATTCGGTACATAAGTCGACTTAACTGCGAGTTAAAGGAATCTCCTTACCTTTTCAGCACGCTATCTATGGAGGCAGGAGTGTCCATAATTGGGGGTGGGTAATCGGGTTCATCTTCAAAGACCCCTGTAGTGGAACCTATCCGGGACAGTCTCTTGGATGAGCCGCGGAGATCTGTATTTGACTCTTTGATAGAAGGCCTGGTCACTCGGTACTTCCCGTCAACTGCATCTGCTCCGTAATACTGGAAAGTAAAAATTACTGAGTGATGAATGATTTTTTAAAAGTTTTAATCGGTAGGAGTATACAAACTAAAACTGCGCGACGGACAGACATGTTTGGTTTGATTTTCGAAAGGAAAAGTGAAAAAAATTCAAACGTTCAAACGTTCAGGTCAGCGATTTTCAAACTTAGGACACCCTGGCACGGTACCTTGGCAACTGATTTTAAAGATCTCAGTGAGCAAAAGAAAAACGTCGAGCTGAAAACGGAGGCAAAGATTCTGAAAGAGGGGCGTTCAGTTTCCATTATGCAGTGCGACGTTGCAGAAGTATTCCATGACTAGACGCGGAGTGTTGCGCAATGACCCAAATTACGCTGCATGACATGACTAGGGGTGGGAGGGAGGGTTGGGGGTTGAGGTNGGGGGGGGCGTTGCGTTGCGTTCATACCTGAACTGTATCCGTGGTGCTATAATAATTCCGTTTTTCCTTTTTCTGGATCTTCTTGATCTCATAATGATAGGTAAAATTCTTTATCTAAAATAGAAAAAGATATGTAAAGGCTACTTTCAACCAAGAGTACTTCCATGTTTTAACAGATTGACAAACCCTACGACAAGGTGAATAAGCTCTTCAAAACGAAAAAGGTGTTGAGTCACGATATGTCACGCCAGGTAATTCGTTTCTCATTTTTGTAACCGAAAGAGCATATCTACGTGACAAAATCAACCTAAGTAGTGTGACCAAACGTGACAGAGTCGATTTAATAGCGTGACCTGACCCCTAAAACCGGCCCTTACCAAACAAGTCTCTTCGAATAGAAGAAACAAAACCAACTTACATTCTGGTCCAAAAGACAGTACGCAAGCAGCAAAAGTCCCTGCAATAACAAATGAAGACAAGGAGTAGTTTCAAACAAATCGAAAGCATCAAGGGTAGACTATCACTTACTGCGTGACAAGTCACGCAATCCTTACCTGTAACGCACAGGCGCCTGCGAACACGTATTGCCAATTGTTGTTCTCAGGATGTTTGACGTAAATGGCGGCTACAACCCAGGTCCCGGCGATTGCAATAATGAGAATAAATAAGAACAGGACCGAGAGACTAAGGAGAGAAGAAACACTGATTACAAACATCCTAAGTTTAGAAAATTTCTGAAATTAAGATAGCGCTGCAATTTTTTTTATAAAGCCTTTTGTTACATTTGAAATTTTTAAGTTGATTTTTCGTATCGTTTAGCCAAGGGAAAGCTAAGCTTAGTCTGGGAGGCAGCGAATCTAGTGGAGCGCAGTTACGGTATTTTGAGTTATTTTGACCACGTACAAAATTACCTTGAAATTGAAGGAAACCTGAAAATATTAATTAACTAACACACCAAAGAGATAATGATAAACCATAGCGGAACAAGGATGGTTGAGGATGGAGAGGATCGATACTTAATAATAATACTTTATTCAAATACAGAATACAAAGAGTATTTGAAAAGGAGGACCACGAGGTTATCCCTATTTAGGTCCTCTAACTAAAATTACAAACGACGAATTACGGATACGGATTACAAACGACGAACTTGAAAAATTTAGGCTAAACATTTCAAGATGCGTTAACCGTGACGTAGCTCCCTTAATAAAACTGAAGGGCCAAGAAAATGCGTCTGCGATTGCTGGTTCTTGACAGGTCTGGCAGTTTGGAGAATCAAGAACAATTTGATGTTTTACTCACCAGACTTTTCGCCTATCCGTAGAGTCGACAACTCTTCCTTTGACACAGAGGATCATCAACATCAAGACGAGGCTGACCTGAAATAAAGCAGAGAGCAGC